TCTGGTGAGCTGAGTTCCCCTGCCATTACGGTCTTACATCAACATGCCTTACAGAATGATATCACAGAGGTGGAAGATACAATGTGGTAAGTTTAATTTAATTTATACAGGAGTAATTTGTGCCAAATTTACTCTATTAGAAGTGTCAAAAATCACATGGTGAGAATACAATAGGCAGTATGGTTGTTTTACTTTTGATTTTAAATTTAACTATTAAATTGGTGTTAAAAAAAAACTGCACTGTAATTCTTTCTATTTTCTGAATAGTATACTCCATCAAATAACTGTAGCAATATAAATCAATGCTATTAAATATTTTGTAATTTCTTAATTAAAAAATTATTATTAGTAATAGTAATAGATAAATATCAGTAATAAATAAATAAAAAAGTAAATAATTGAACAAGCAGCCTCTCGGCTGAGATAGCTCAGCTGTTAGCACTGCACAGAAGAAGATATCATTAGAAAATGAACAATATGCATAGTATCAATGCAATGGGACTTGCTATTTTCAACAAGAATTCAAAAATATAATTTTTCACCATAAATGATTGTGGTTTTTAACAAGAAGTCGAAAATATCACTTTTTACCAAAAATGACAAAAATATTCCCCAAAATTAGAGAATTGAAGATATCATTACAAAATGAACAACACTGAGCGAGGTCCACATGTAGTACCTATATATGTAATATCGAAGCAATTGGACTTACGATTTTTAACAAGAAGTCGAAAATATCACTTTTTACCAAAAATGACAAAAATATTCCCCAAAATTAGAGAATTGAAGATATCATTACAAAATGAACAAATCTGAGAGAGGTCCACATGTAGTACCTATATATTTAATATCAAAGCAATTTGACTTGCGTTTTTTAACAAGAAGATGAAAATATCACTTTTTACCAAAAATGACAAAAATATTCACCAAAGTTAGAGAATTAAAGATATGATCATGAAATGAACAAATCTGAGAGAGGTCTACCCAAGGTACATAGACACCAAGTATCAAAGCAATTAGGCTTGTAGGTTGCAAGAAGAAGTCGAAAAAGTAAAACATTGACACGGACGACGAACAATGACGACGGACAATCACTCATATGATAAGCTCTGCTCGACAAAGTCGACAGCGAAGCTAATAAAAAACTTATTGGTACGAAGAGCTTGTTCCAACATTTGCAAACTGTCACTTGGAGACCATATCACAATTCCAAATTATAGTGCATTGTGGGATATGTTTGACCAAGTTGAACACAACCTGACAAAATTATCCCACAGTGCAGTATAATTTGTCATTGCAATAATTTTTGCAAAATTTTATAGAAATCTTATATATAATTCTATGTTGGAAAATATCCATTTGTAAAAGTCTTTTATATTTACTTAACCAATAACACTCTTCCTACCCCAATCAGGTGGACAGATATCTGATCTAATTGCTTGAACAAATAAAAGCTCTACATACACACATACAGACATAATTCAGCATACTCAAAATGCCTACCTAAAACATATTTAATGCAGTACTTTATACACATCATATTCTACTGGCTAATCTCCAAAATCAATCTGTCTCAGACTAATGGTATTACTATAAAAAGTGCGTAGGTGGCCATGATTTGTGTTTATTTGTGTCAAGAGAAAATACATAATTATTATGATTTATAATTATTACCTAAGTAATCACCAATAACTCTTGGACTGTAGACTACATGGGATTTTACTTGTACATGGTGTAGATCAGTGTGAAGGATGTTGCAATTTATATATAATAATACAATCTTATAACGAGAATATTGCAAAGTATGTACAAGAACAGTATAATAATAGTATCAACCAATGCAAAGTGCGGTCTTATTGCAGCAATAAGCAGGCCTTCCTTACACTGTGGCAGTCGTCACATACTACCTAAATGCTTACTTTGTGATACTTTCGTGGTAACCTTTTATATTATATGTCTTTGCTTGTAATCGTAATTTAATGAGTGATAACAGCATAAAATGTCAACAAATTAAAAATGTTTCGCGCATCTAATGTAAACAAAAACAAGTGTTTGAATAACCTGAATACATTTAATGTTTGTGTTGTATTGTCGTATTGGAATATCAAACATTAAAACAAGTGTTTGAATAACCTGAATACATTTAATGTTTGTGTTGTATTGTCGTATTGGAATATCAAACATTAAAACAAGTGCAGATACAGCTTTTTCAGTATAATAAATTTCTATTTTTTTTGATGCTGGATGTATAAACTTGATTGTATTTTAGCAAGGTTTATAGTAGTAAGAGGATAAGAGTAAAAAAAAAGCAGTGAATTAAGTTTGCTATATTGCTAATCATCTGTTTATTATTTGTTTGATTAATAAATTTGGTATATACATAACTTTTGAAAAAGCTGCAAGACTGAAGATTATCTTTATTCAGAATTCAAATTCAACGAAAGATTAACTATTAAGTAATTTCTAGCTGCCTTAGTGCCAAAATACGCAGCTGCTTGTGTTTGTGGACTGGTGTTGTGTTGAAATAACTAACCATAATAACCATCGCAAAAATGATTTTTGTAGTACTACTAGTAGGTTAAAACTTGAGAGAAATAAAGAGTAAACTGACTGAAATTTTATGATTTCTGCCTCCATAGCATTTTACCTGCCATTTTGAAACAATAGCATTAGATAAATGTTAACTGATAAAAATTGCTGAAAGTTTTATTAGAATTCCTGCATCTATCATTGAAATTACTGTAGTTTCAGATGATCCTTGAAACCTATACTGAGTATGTTCTTCTTAATGATTAGATGCGTACTCACTCAGAATATTTATTATTTCAATACTATATACAGTTTTAAGGTAGCAATGGGGTAAAACCAGTTAAAATTGATTTGTGATTCAAACATTATCTTCTCTAACAACCTACACATCATCTGAAAGCTTAGATATAAGCAAATACAGTGGTGCACATGCCATAATAATGTTTTTCTAAGGAATTACCTGGCAACCAATTTTGCTATTGTGCTTTTTTCACTTATCTCCTTATTGAAAACATCATTTTTTAACATTTTTAGTCACGCAAATGGCCAGTGAATTGCATAGAATGTAGGCCAAATGATTGCCTCTTGGTTTTACTTTTTAGCCTTTGTTCACTAGCTATGACCAAATAACTACAGACATGCTACCAACAATGTAGTTTTGGAATCAGTGAGTTTTGCAAAATTTTGTCTTCACAAACGTTCTCAAATGATGAAAAGGCTAATGTTACAAATTTACTGGTTTTCTGTATAGCTGAAAAAGTTATTAATATCTCTGAACACCTCTGAGTTCTATAAAAAACAAAAACATAATGCATACCTGGAATGCTAGTTTTAAAAATGCGTGAGAAAGCTATTCCTTTTAGTCATTCTGTAGTGTATACACATTTGACACCGCAGGGATAGTTGACACATTTGCTTTTCTACTTCATTACACAACTGTAACAGTTGTGATTTGATGAAAATGCCTTCAGCATGAGATGTCTCTTCTGTTCAATTTCAGTAATTGGTTGGCTTTTAGTAGGCAGCATATGCAGCAAGCTTTGGACTATGCATTCTTATACAGACTGATAAAAAAACTAGAAGAGCTCTGGATTCCTTCTGCACTATCCAGGGACTATGTAAGTAGAGCTGCTGCTTCATAGCTATTGGTTGATTTAAGTTATAGCTCATTATCATAAAAACAAATATCTGCCAGTTTTATACTATAGAGGGCACCAGCTTACAGACTATATTGTAATGTTTTGTTTTGCAGGAGGAAATGCTGGGTCATTCGCTGTGTACATTTATCGACTTTTGCCTGGGACTTTTGAGCAAACAAAGAGATTTATTTCCTCCCGCAAACAAAGCTGCTTACTACAGATTGGAGTATTTGCTGAGGTATGTAAGAGATAAATGTGTGAAATAGTTCAACTTTATTGCAAGAGTACTGCAAACTATGCATGATGGCAGTATGGTGATCATTTCCACCAACAGAAATTGATGCAATCCTGTACTGTCTGAGTGAATACTTTTTCGTGAACACATTCATGACTATATCTACTGTATTAGCTATGTTAGTAGCGCATATGTTTATGTAAATGACAGGTGTGTCTGTGGTCAAAATAAGTCATATTTTACTGATTCATTATACAATGTATACAAATGTTGTTTACATGCACTGCTATTATGAATGCACTTTCATTAGAGAAAATACTGTATCTGATCTATTAGTAGTGCATGTGTGTCTATCACAAAAAGTTATATTTTAATGCTTCAGTAAATTTTCACTTCTATTGAAGATATATTTCTATTTACGGTATTATTTGTAAATTTTTAAATGTGGGTGAACCTGAATATTTCTGTGCCTGTAGATTCAGACATCTACCAAAGTGCGGTTTTATTTTAAAGTTGCAGACAAATATTGTTTAATAATCATAATAATTACCATACATTTCTTTGTAGGTGTCTGCAACACATTTATAATATGGAGCTATTTAAACAATGTTGCCCATTTAGGAAAGAGTTACACAGAGAAGTGATTGATGCTATCAAGGTAAGATGATATAGATTTATAATTTTTTATTCATGAATCTTTGCTGTGTAATTTCTATTTATTTATATTCAAAGAAACATTGGCTCACTCACCAGTTGGTATTATTGTCTGGCATCAACTTTTTTATAACTGACACTTCTTCTTGAAAACTACTAATTGCTTCTTTATTTGGTGTTAATTTATTTATTTGCCTTGCGATGACCACAATCCATTTTGTTTGTTTTTTAACAATATTATCAATTCAATTTTCCATGTTGGTAATTTGTGGTAAAAAATGCTATTTTTGACTACTTCTTGAAAACTACAGGCGTGATTGCTTTTACAGTTGGGTTGATCTTTATCAGAGTTGTTCATTACTTTTTATGACATTGTCCTTTTTTGTCCAATTTTAACAAATATTTTGTGTATCAAGACAGCAACTCTTAACTCTTTGGGGGGGGTATTAACATTTTCTTGAAAACTACCAGATTTATCATTTGGTAATGATCAATTAGCTAATTTTAGTTAAAATTTATCAACTGCTTTTGAAGATCTATCAGCCCGAATTTTGATAATGCTATTAAATTCTGAATTGTTTGAATCAATCAAAAGATCTGACAGGATACATGTACTACTTGACAGGTCGCTTGTATAATTTTGATTATTTTTCATTCAAAAAGATAATTGCCTCAGCCGTGTGATTTAATGGATGGTAGTCATGAGTTTGAACTTTGAGTTTTTTAGCTCCGCTGTCGACTTTGTCAAGCGGAGCTTATCATACGAGTGATTGTCCGTCGTCGTCCATGTCAATGTTTTACTTTTTCGACTTCTTCTTGAAAACTACAAGCCTGAATGCTTTGATACTTGGTGTATATGTACCTTGGGTAGACCTCTCTTAGATTTGTTCATTCCATGATGATATCTTCAATTCTCTAATTTTGGGGAATATTTTTGTCATTTTTGGTAAAAAGTGATATTTTCAACTTCTCGTTAAAAACCCCAAGTCCAATTGCTTTGATATTACATATATAGATACTACATGTGGATCTCTCTCAGATTTGTTCATTTTGTAATGATATCTTTAATTCTCTAATTTTGGTGAATATTTTTGTAATTTTTGGTGAAAAGTGTTATTTACGACTTCTTGTTGAAACCGCAAGTCCAATTGCTTTGATATTACATGTGGTTCTAACTCAGATTTGTTCATTTCATAATGATATCTTCAATTCTCTAATTTTGATAAATATTTTCGTAATTTTTGGTAAAAAGTGATATTTTCACTTCTTGTTGAAAACCGCAAGTGTGATTGTTTTGATACTATACATATTGTTCATTTTGAAATGATATCTTCTGTTCTTTAATTGAAATGTGCATTGCTAACAGCGGAGCTATCTCAGCCGAGAGGCTGCTTGTTTGAGTTTTTTTTGTAACTAAGCAATGCATCATATTCTCTGTGGAGGCTTTCAGCAGGCGATATTTGTTTAATGAATGTGTAAAAATCTATAATATACTATTTGCTGGGTTTTAATTTTGCTAATAAGTAAAATTTGCTAAATTAAATATATGTAAAATAACAACATAACTCTTTGTTTCACTGGCATTAAATAAAAACCCTGTGAATATGCTCCAAATATCAAAATAGTGAAAAGAAATGGTTTTACAGTACTACTGATGTCTCTAAAATCTTTACTGTTACTTTCCATCAAAATTATATCAGGTAATTTTTTGAAAATGCAGTTAAAATTAACAAATTTAATGATTAAACCATATCTTTTTAATAGCAAAAATTACTATGCTCTTTCCAACATGCATTTGTTGTATTTTTTGATATTTTTAGAAAGGCACAGTTGACTGGTATGAGACTGTTCATGCATTAGCTGAACCACTAGTACAGTCAGAAGAAGAACAAGTTACAAGTCTTGTCTCATTGGGTAATACACTAAATACTGATATGCAGAGAGGAGTCAAATATTATCACAAACTCTATCAGAATATTGTAAAAGTGGACTACTTTACAATTACATTCAGACAACTTGAAAAACTAGTGAGTATTTATTTATATCGTTTCTACAATATTGAACCGTTCTAAGTAGACAGGATGTATCTCACATACAAATATTAAGATGTGACTACATCTGAAAAAAGTTTGCTGACCAATCATTATTATTTTTAACCCAGTGCAGGTAATGTTTTGTTTTGTTTTTCTTTACTATATTTTGGTAAAGGTAAAAAAAAACCATCAGGTTTATTTCCAAAACAAGGTTGGGTGACATATTAGTTATATGTTATATAATGAAACTAAACTTCCCTTCAAATTCCTCTTTGAGCAGAAGTTTTTTTTTTTTTTCAGTTTGTTTTGTATTGCTTTATAAATATCATTCACTGTCCACTTTAAAAGCCTTAATTTTAAGTGGTATTTAATTTAACAAATTGATATTTTACTATATTCACTAAGTTTTAAATTCACAGATTTTCCTGTTAAACAAAGAGATCCATTGTAATTGTGTTCATATGAATTTCATTTCAATAGTGACTTTCGCTTATCAGCTAAATAAGTCTGTGATAAATTATTTATTGACAGTATACTTTGTGACAAGATTGCATAAATTTCACTTATCAGCAAAAAATTAATTTGTACAATATACATGTATTTTTACTACCTGTAATAATGGTTTTCTTTACAGATTGCAGAAGATGTAAGCCGAGCTATGGAGGAAGTAAATAGAATTATAAAGTCCCATGATGGGAAAGATCAGAACTATTCAGTTGGTACTTCACTTTTTGAAATATATCTGGCTTTGAAAGAACTACTGGCATATAAACAGTATCTATCTCCAAAGTGAGTTGTTTATCGCAATATACTCATTTTCTTTGCCCATTTCCGCTGAATGCATTAACATCCAAATTGTAATATATTTGTGTGTGACACGTTTTTTATGGTTCCTGCAAACCAACACTGCAGTTTAAGTCTTCTGCATGCATTGCACACATCACATGGAACCCATTTTGAATACAACATATTGCAATACTGTGCTGCTCTAAGGATGCCAATTGAAAAAAAAAAAAAAATGTTTGACATACACCTTTCAAATTACCCTGTGCATTGACTAGTAACATTTTGTTGTACCTATTATTGAAAGGAGGAAGCAATCCCAAGCGTATTAATAACTTGCAATAAACTAATTAACCAATGATTTTCCCTCAGGAGACGACCCATATAGTGATATACCTAATACGATAAAGTGTTCCAAATAATTTCTATAACATATCCTGTAACCAGGTCATGAAAATTAATGTCTACTCAATGGATTTAATCTATTGGAAACCAATGTGAAATTGAATTAGTATTTCAATGAGGACAGGTTAAAAGTTGACTCACTCTTTACTGTGACCTATTGACCTTATTACTTGGCTTGTTCAGGGATAATAGTACATGTATGATGTATGAGTCTCATACCATATGGCACTTACATAATAGTTTTATAAGTGGTGATTATCATTACTGTGTTTGCTCTTAGACTATTAGTAGTGCCACTGTAACAGAAGTGCACATAAAACAAAATTGTCTACTGGATCATTAAAATATAACTTAGACACATTGCTATTATTTATGTATTAAAGCATTTGCTGTACTATGGTGGTGCCTACATGATACTGTTAAGCAGGAATATCAGATACAAAATTATATCCAATAAATCAAAAATTTATAAAATGGCCTTAGATTAAAGAAAAAAATAGGAATAGAAAGTATCTAAGGGTACTGAGGCAAACTTAATAGGCATCTAGGCAATTGCCTTTGATGCCTATGTGAAGTCAAAGGCCTGATGCTCTACACAACTATTATTTCACAAAACAAATTTTTTTTATCAAATCGGGCCAAATTGTGAATTTTTGTAACATCAATTGGTTCTTTAGTTCAGTATCATAATTTTGAAAAGCTGTACTCACGAATACCCTCAATGATCAAATCATAAATGTTATTAGCAATCATAACTGATTAGCATGGGAAATATTATAATATAGTAGTTAATAAAAATGTTTATCTGCCAGTTGCCACCGTAACTAGGCTGTTATTATAGAGGTTGTGAAGGCTTTGAATTCTAGCCCTATGATGTGCATGACTTATGAGTAGTCTTACACAATTTCAGAGATAGCTGTCTTTCAAAAGTTTCCAATTCCATATTACTTATATTATTACATGTATTAGTAATTAGACTGTGGCCTTAAAAGAACATCTGAAGTAGTTCTAATATGAGGTTAATATCGGTACATTTGATGTGCTTTAACTCAGGGATTTCACTTTAATAGGGTTGAGTGATATGAAAGTAGAGATTAGACAATCTGACTTTTTTAATTCCCTAATGACTCTTGAAGCTTTGCAACTCTTAAAACTTTGCTCACCTTTTGCTTTCTGCTTTAAAATTTTAATCATGATTATATCATTGACTCTATAGTGACAGTGAAATGATGGTGATAAACATAATGCTGTCTATGAACATCAAATTTTAATGATTTCCCATCGTAACCCATCAAACTTCTTTCAAATTTTATACATTTTTATGTATTTTTCTACAACTATTTTATTAATTTTTGACTTATTGGATATAATTTCTTATTTGATAGAAGCAAAATTAGTGAAAATATATTCCAAAAATTACGCAGGTATAATTTAGAGTGTTGCATTATGAGGGTATGATCTAGGTATCAAAACTTCATTACAACCTAACAATTACTGATCTCTGTATTTCTTAATTATATTGTCATTTTTGGATTCAATTTTAGGAATCAGGAATCTGTATTTGTTAATATATTTATTTGTTGTGTACTTCACAGCCTTCTATATTAACTCCAATATTATGTTGTTTGTTACAGTGAAGCTAAGAATTTAGCATTAGCCAATTATCATGTGTGGTTTAAATATTGTGTACAGAAATGGTTGGATATTGCTAAAGATAAAGCCATGGACCGAATAAAGAAATCAGTGGAATTAGACAAGGTAATGGAATGTAACTGAAACATTTCAGTTGACCCATTTTAATCAGTCAATGCTTCAAAATTCTTGCATATTGACTGTTGGTTCATAAAATCTAGAACCATACATTGTCTAAAACTGATACTGAAATGTTAGCTATCATTGCATGTTAAAAAAAACACAACACAAACAATATTCCATCGCTAAGTACTTATCAATTTTCTAAATTACCCAAAACTCAGATTCCACTTGTTGATTACTAATCTTATGTTTATTTGCCACTTGCTGCTTGGATAATGAGCAGAAGGTATTTACTATATATATTATTTACTAGTATATTATGTGGTATAGTAATTGCAATTTATTCACTATATTACTTGAATTGTACAAACCTTTAACAATTTTACCACCAGACTTTCTAACCCAAATTTATCTACACTTTCCTTTCATATTCTGGTAATGAACCCTAATGCCAACAGACAAAATTTGAGTCAATTTTTAGTTTTTTCTCAAAAAATTCAGCCATTTTTGTTCCAAAGGTAGGTGCATACTATAAACAGGACAATTTTTTGTTGAAAATGGCGAAACTGGTGGTGAAAAGGTTAAAGCAACAATAGGTGTGATTTTTAAATATAACGACATAAAATTGACCATACAGAAATATTGTTATATATATACAAGGCTGTAAATACAAATAAAACATTCTTAACTTTAATACTTTGAATGTGTGTACCGTAGTATTCCTTATAATTTGACATATGCACTATTGTAGATAGTTCTAGTTGACTGTATGGTGAAACACAGTACATCTGCTGTTGATACCAGTTGCTGTTTTGCACAGGTAGGCAATATTACCGGTTGTATTGTGAGTGAATTTTTTTTTTTCCCTTTTACTTATTGGACAATACCAAGATTTATATTATACAACTGGTGTTAAATTATCACAATTGGAAGACAAAAGTACATTCTTAGAAATACTGAAAGATTCTTTGAAAGAGCTGGTTAGTTCATCTCATCTCAAAAGGCAATGTGTAGATATAAACTTAGACTTTTGAGAGCTCTTTATTGAAGTTTACTAAAAATAACTGTGTATTGTGAAATTTTTCAGATCCGTGAATTTTGGCAGAAGTTGGATTGGCCTGATACAACCGGTTCTTTCTTGTATGTTACAAAGGTTACTGATGTAAGTATTTTATATTGCTTTCACTTATCTATCTCATTGCTAAATCACTAGAGATCAATTAAGAAAAAAGTCACAAATGAAGCCAGAGAAGCAAATTTTCAAGTTCTACCCAAGTTGTAGCCCTATAATACTGTGCTCTCGCTGTCGCTCGCAAATGTCGTAAATTACGAAATTTTGACAAAATTTACGAACAAAATAAATATCTATTAGTAGGATTTACGAACACATTTTGTACAAAATACCCTCGCAAATCGCGCTCATTTAATTGTCAAGACTCGACTGTGATCATCACGCGTGTTAGGGTTTGCGTGATTGCCATTTTAAAGTTAAACAACGTCCCGTTACTTCTAAGAGTATTTTTCACGACGAGATGGAAAAACCGCCAAATCGTGTTCAGAACCAGAAACAAATGGGTGTCCTAACCCTGACAGCACCAAGAAACTGAAAGTTGATCGTACTGCAGCACGATTTCAGAAATAATGGAAGGTTAGCTGCGGTTCCGTAGCTCTTTGGTGCGACATACAATCTAATTTTGCCCTACCAATTTCATTCGGACGTCTTGTTTTTATTTTTGTTGTTGTATGTCGAACATGGGCTGGCCAGTCTCTGTCACGTAAATAATGCGGTCGGCAACATAGGGCTATGATTCCACAGCTAATGGAAGGTGAGACAATGTTAGCGAATCGATCGAAAAATACTATAATTTGTGTAACATTCTTACCGGGCATTCTTAGCATAGCTGCAGATCTGCAGCTATTCTTAGCATTGAGATCGAGTTACAAGACCGAAAGTTACTTTAGTTACTTTTTCACTTTAATTCAGAAATTTCGATGAAAATAAATAGTCATTTTGTGTCGTCATAAACGTCAACATGCGGGTTTGCACGATGAGCACGGGAGATTACTTCATAATAATATTGATTGGCATAGAGTTTTTTTCTGAGAAATTTCCCGTGAAAATTTATTCACAGACTTATGTTCTTGGCAGTGAACTTAGTGAACTTTTGAATGATGACTATTTTCCCCACTGTTAACAATGTGAGCTTATCATGAATATGTTTAATTAATACTGAGTTATTCAAATAAAGGTTCTGGTGTCTACATTGCATATTTTGTTGTGATGTTTTGTTGTACCATCATAAATGGTACATTTTGTGGAGCAGACTGCCTAATTTGATGTCATAAAATTACACACAAAATTAGAGCTCAGGTTGCACCAGCAAGCACCATTTTCAGCATGCTGTTCTTGTTTTCGGCGGACGACAGAGGGGACACCTCCCTCTCCTTCTCTCTTCCCCGTTGTGCTCGGTCGCGGGAAAATGCTCCGCAGTTTCCAGACAAAGTTTACTAATACTTTTTTTTCTTGATTAGTAAATTTACTATTACCTAGCAAATTCCAGAGAGAGCCCAGATAATATTAATCGATTAGTCGATTAGTTGATTGATTGATTGATTGATTGATTCATTCATTCATTCATCCATTCACCCTTCCATCTATCCATCCATCTCCCTTTCCATTTGTTCCATCATTCATTCATTTCCATAATAACATTGTGTATATTTCTTATATAATTAGGATATCGCAAAAGGTGCTGTGTACTATGCAGATGTTATGCATGACAAATTAAAACAAAACGGCTACTTTGATGATGAAGGACAATTTGATATTACAGAACAGGTAAGTCTTACAAACAACTATAAATGCTTCACAAACCCTGTGTAGCTATATTTTCAGTTGCTGTAGCCTGTTTTAATAGTGATGTACTATAGCACTGGTCACTGGTAGCATATTGGTTGTCACTGTTTTAATAGTGATGTACTATAGCACTGGTCACTGGTAGCATATTGGTTGTCACTGTTTTAATAGTGATGTACTATAGCACTGGTCACTGGTAGCATATTGGTTGTCACTGTTTTAATAGTGATGTACTATAGCACTGGTCACTGGTAGCATATTGGTTGTCACTGTTTTAATAGTGATGTACTATAGCACTGGTCACTGGTAGCATATTGGTTGTCACTGTTTTAATAAGTGATGTACTATAGCACTGGTCACTGGTAGCATATTGGTTGTCACTTCAGACTCATGATCAGTTGACCCAAGTTCAAATCCTACCTTAGGCTGAATATCAAAGGGTCGACCTCTACCCTGGGTGAGTGTGCCACAGACTCAATTGGAAGGCCAATTCCACTGGCCGAGATTCATTCACTAATGAATGCGACTTTGGGGGAACCTTGGTTAAGGTCCGCAGGTGCTTGTGTTCAACCGAGCCTGGTTGACACCAGGATAGTGCATTAAATTGCCATTTGACAGAGAGATGGCCGCAGGGCTCTGTCATGTAGTCCCAAACATGAGTATGACTTCTGTGGCAAAAATGCACTGTGTCAGCACTAGCACTTGCAATTTGCACATACAAAAAAAAAGTCAGGAGAGACAACAGTGATATTCAACGTCCAGAACTGTCACCTGGCACAATAATATTTAAAAAAAAAAAAAAAATTATAGTGATGTTTGTACATTTCATACAGTATGCATTTCATTTCTATGATGAAATACGCTATTAAATGAATGTGATGTTTTCCTCTATTTTATTAAGCCATGCATATTCAAATGCTCAATCTATACACAGTTTTATTCATGAATGAACTTTTAATATTTTTTTTTCTAGCTATGTATAACAATAAATGATATAGAACATGTGAGAAAGTCTCTGAAACCGCTGCCCCAAGTGTTAGGATATTCTGAGATACAACATGCCATGGAAAAAGCACATGGCAGTAAAAGTGGAAAACAGTGCAGGGAATCTTTACATACTGTGTTGAAAAGTGCTGATGAAGATATGTGTAATCAGATATGGAAGATTGTACAAAGAGTTGGTGAGAAGATGAAACCAGATATCAAGAAATTTGTCTTTCATCTCACATGGGCACCCATGTCTGTACCAGCTGATGACGTGAGTTTACAACAGTACTGTAGTAAAATATATATTTGGACACAATTGGTTCCTGAGATGAAATAGACAACCAGAGAGCCCCCTTTTACCCCTTAAACAGTGCTCACTTCATTCACTCTTATCAGGTTCACCAAATATGGTATTAGGTGGACATCATAGACAACTGAATGAATATAGGGAAAGAGAATGTTTACTACTAGCACAAAACATACACTCAAATTCTTATTGATATGAAAAGCATTTTTACTATGAGTTATGCTTAACTTGTTGCCATTGAAACAGATACTTGTGATTTTATATTTTTATTTAAAAAAATGGCTCTGGTCTCCTGGCCTAATTATCTCAGGTTGTTTTATTAGTGTTCTTGCAGTGTGTCCGTTTTTGAGTAAGGTGATAATAATTTACGCTTCCACTTCATTCTGTGATGCCATTGGTTAGAAAAAGTTTGATTGACAAGAAGCTGATACAAAATCTGTATCGCACACCCTTATGAATCTTTAAAGTGATACTTATTAGAGTTAATAAAAGTTAGTTAGGATCTTACATTTCAGTAAATACTTAACAAACTTTCAATCTTTTTATTTACAGGCGATATGTCCACTGATGGAGTATTTGGACAGTAACTTGATAACACTTAACAATACATTACTACGAGCAAACTTTGACAGGTATAGTTGTAATTGACAAGTCTTACAAGTCTTAAATCTTGATTTGCATTTATGTTACATGAATGCTCCTTAACTACATGGGATTGTTGTGCTATTATGATAGTTTCTTTGGTAGAATATTTGAGCATGCATTTATCTTACAGAATCCTTGAGGAGATCTGGCATGTTGTGTTGAATGAGTTACAGGAACAAGTGGAATCTAATGAAGGGGTAAGCTGGTTACAGAGATTTTGGCGGCTCTTGAGTAGTCAGGTAAACAAGATAGACAGGTATTAAGATTACATTGCAACCCTGGTGCATTTATGTATTAGCTTTGGATAAATAAAATTATTTCTGTTATTATTTCACTATGCATCTTGGCACCAGGGTTTCAATTAATATATTGTAGGCTTATAAGGAGAGATAGGATTTAGCTAGTTAAACGGGGGTGATTTTAACGAACTGGCATTTTATTATTAATCGCTCAAAACAACAGAACCAAGCTGTCTGTTATCAACTACACAGATGGATAACCAAGGAATATTAAATTGAAAGAAAACCTGTCGAAACTGAACTCCAGATAAATTGAGAAAATGATTCTGTTCATATATATGTGTTGAATTAAAAGAGGGATTTGATATTAGCAAATAAGAATGAGAAAATGGTTTAGACAGGTTTCCAGTTTTCACAGAGTTTGGTTCATGCAGGTTTTACCTGTGTGTTACTAGTTTGTTTTGGACTGGATGATCACCATTGTAGATTTAAATCAATTTCAATATTAATAGAGTTGTGATTGTTTTTCTTCTATAGAAAGAGACTTTGTTTTATCTGCGACTGTTTGATGCCTTAGAGGTAGGTATAGTACATTAATATGTCAAGTTTTCTTATTGTTAAGGTTTGCTAGCTTTCATTCACTACTGGCTTAGGTGTGCTAGTTTTCATTCAATAGTGGCTTAAGTGTGCTAGTTTTCATTCAATAGTGGCTTAAGTGTGCTAGTTTTCATTCAATACTGGCTTAGGTGTGCTAGTTTTCATTCAATACTGGTTTAGGTGTGCTAGTTTCCATTAAATAGTGGCTTAGGTGTGCTAGTTTTCATTCAATACTGGCTTGGGTGTGCTAGCTTTCATTCACTACTGGCTTAGGTGTGCTAGTTTTCATTAAATACTGGCTTAAGTGTGCTAGTTTTAATTCAATACTGGCTTAGGTGTGCTAGTTTTCATTCAATGGTGGCGTAAGTGTGCTAGTTTTCATTCAATACTGGCTTAGGTGTACATTAGAATAATTTAATCACTTGATATATAGCCATTCTGTGAATGAACATCTTGTGAAGTCTTTTACTACATGTGTATTTCTTTTTCCAGATCTTAATTGACTTTTTCTATGCTGATGAGAAGGGTCTCTCAATGGATCTTATCATGAATGAAGACTGCAAATTACTACTAAACTACTTAAAACTTAATAAAACACCAACTGAAGAGCTTATTGAGCTTTACTACTTGGAAAAGATAGATGAACAGGTGAGACACCATGTTACAGAATTTTTATTGAGTTTATGACAACTGTTAAAACTTTCAGCCAATCAAATAGGTGGTATAAAAACAAAAGAAAAGTCAGTAATATGTTTGAGGGCGCTATACAACATTTTGAAAGTTAAACTTGTGTGATTCTTTCCTGCATCATTATACTTTGTATATCAGATAACATAAAAATTTTATTCTGTTCAAGGTTCATAGAGAAAGTGAGGAGTTTGGTGCACTTACTGTCAAGTGCTTTTACAACCAAGAAAGAGAAAAGTTTTGTATACAGATAATGAACGCAGCAAATGTCATTCCTCTGGATTCCAACGGTAAGCATTTTTTTTTTATACTAAAGGTAAATAATAGATAAGGGCTCCTACCCATGGTGACATGCACTGAACATCTCATTGATCATGAGAATAGTGAGACAAACACATCTAATGCTACTGCAAAATGGTTAGAGTAGATATCAAGTTGATTGTGTCCTTGTATTTTTGTACATTGTGTACTGCATGTCTTCTTCAATAGAATCACTTGTTCAATAATCTTGACCATTCTTAATTTAGTTTCCTCAATTTAACTTTTCAAATTTTTTTTTTGCGATGCTAATTAATCAGTTGCTCTTACCCTCAACATTTGTCCCGGGGGTTGCAATAACTTTCAATCTTTTCTGTATTTTTTAATTTCACAATAGGATTAAGTGATCCATTTGTAATGGTGGAATTATTGCCTAAACATGTGTTCAATCGACTTGACGTGAAACAAACCAAGGTTGTCAAGAAAACACTACACCCACTTTTTGAAGAGAACTTTGAATTGTAAGTGATTTAACCAAAAGTATGCTTTGTATGTTGTAGCATAGGATTACTGTATTATTAAGTAGTCACACAACATCTGTAGCATATATACGTTTGCAGACTGGGGTTGAACTTTACAAAGGCTTTGATGACCAATTAGTTTGGCTTTGTGCTCTTCAATATTGGTACCCTTCATATGCCAAGTCAGTTGTTTAAACTTTGGCTCTGACAACAGGTACCCTCTCAAGACTGAAATTCAAGCCATAAATGTAGTTGTTGTTTCAGAAAACTGATCAGTACAGCTAAGGGTTGAACACTTATAACTGTACCATGGGC